TGATAGGTTGGATGTTGATGAACCGACTGGTAAACAGGTGTTTGTTGCATGGGCTAGTACATAGGAACTCAGTTATTGAACATGGGAGCGATCATGGTGTTAGCTCACAAATTTGACGCCCATATTAAATGATGAGGGTTAAGGGAAATATTAAAATTGTCAAGGGAATATGAAAGAGACCTTCGATTGGTTGAAATGTTAGAGTATTTGGAACATAGGAAATATTTCTAACATTAAAGAAATCTCCTTCGACCGAGACTACTGGCCAAATATTTGTGGAATTTGAAATTCAAATAAAGAAGGGAGTAATTATGCTTTCTCATTGCTGAACAGGACAAGTGGCGCATATCTAGCAAATAACTACATGCGGCGTGACACTTGTCATAAGCTGATTATTTCAGAAGGTTAATAGCAGTTAATTGTATTATTAAATAGGGGTTCTAGCAATAGAATTCAGGGTGTTGTAATTTACTATTGTACAAGTCACTCCCAAAATTACTCAAAGTATCCGAGTGTAGAGAAAAGAGTTCTAGGAGAATGTATGTCATGTAAAAACATCATTTCTACGTTTTAATGAAACTTATTTTTCTTTTCTTTATCTTAAAGAGTTTATCTTTACTTCCTTGCAATTTACATCTTTCTAGCATTATGCTTTACTTTGTTTAAAGGTTTTAAAGGCTTTTTACTTTGTTTCCTACAATTTCATGCCCTTTTATTTCAGACGAGCCTCACATTTACATTAATATTTTCTCATAAACACTGTCGAAGTGTCCAGTTTTAGGTAGTTTATTTCAAATAAAACTTAGCACATGTCCTAGGATCAATCTGGTCGATCCTGTGACTCACCAAAGTTAGATTTGGAAGATCAACGGTTGTTTTCCAATTTTCACAGGAAACAGGTGGCCACATATGGTTGTTGAGCATATTGAACTGGATACACAAGATGTTGAACATAACTCTGCTGTTGCTGTTGATGCTTCCAAGGATGATTCTTCGTCTTTTTGCTTAACATCACAGCATTGGTTTCTCCTTCTTTTTTCATATGGAAATTTTTGGAGGATTTTTTTGGCATTATCACTTGAACTACCAGCTCCCTTGGTCATCTTTCAACTTTTCAGACCAAGCTCAACTTTAATGCCCACAACCACGATATCATAGAAATTAGCAGTCACACTATTGATCATGCTTTCATAGAACTCTGGTCTCAGCATATCAATAAACCAGTCAGTTAGTTCTTTTTTAGTTAGGGGCGGCTCTACTTGCAAAGCAGTTTCTCTCCAACGTTGAATGTATTCCTTAAACGACTCGGAGTTCTTCTGAGACATACTCAAGAGTTGCCTTCTGTCTGGAGCAAGATCCATATTATACTTGTAGTGCTTAATGAAGGCATTTGACAAGTCTTGGAATTTATGGATACGAGACTGATCCAGACTTAGGTACCATTTGGTAGAGGCACCTTTCAGGCTATCCTAAAAGCAGTGAATCATCAACTTATCATTGTTAACATAGGCAACCATATTTCTGTAATACATGATCAGATGGGTTCTAGGACAAATATCAACCTCATATTGGTCAAAACTTGGAGTCTTGAACTTTGGTGGAATAACTAGCTCAGATACCAAACACATCTCTCGTGCATCGACGCCAAATATATCATTACCCTCCATGGCTCTCACTCTCCTTTTGATACTCTCAATATTTTCTTTCAGATTTTCGTGGCGCTCATGGGGCTCTTCAAACATGTCGGGAATGTCAGAGACTTGATTCGCGTCATTGAAGTAAGGACGCACTTGTGTTTGCACGACAGCTGGTACAGAGTTAGGAATTGCTTGAGGAAATTCGGAAGTCAGAGGAACAGTCTATTCACTACAAGAAAAAATGAGATTTACGACACTTGAGTTGCGACAGTTATCATAAAACCGTCCTTATTCCTGGATTGTGACGGTTGTCACGACAGTTAGGGTCAACTGTCGTAGGTTTTTTGTGACAGTTATAAAAAAACCGTCCTTATTCCTGGACTACGACAGTTCTCACGACGGTTTAAGCCAACCGTCGCAAATTTTTTAAGTATGTTGTATAAAATAATGCGACAGTTACCAAAGAACCGTCATCTTTCCACACTCGCGACAGTTAAGGCGAACTGTCGCAATTACTTTAGCCAATCATAATCACTATTTTTTTTTATTTCTTTAATTTTTCACTTTTTTTTCATTTTTATTTTCTAACCTTTTCAATTTTATTAATTAATTTAATAAATAATTATTATAATTTTCATGACAAGGTAACTTAAAATTAACAATTAAAATTATTATTTTTAATATTTTAAAATTAAAATTCGTTTTTTAAAATTAATTATTAATATTTTTCAGATTTTTATTTAGGTTAGTTTGTTAGTTGTTAGTATTATTAATTATTAAATATTACAAAAATGAAATAAAACAAAAACTAAAAAAATAAAAAATTAAAAACTAAAAAAATGGGTTGAGCCTGGGTCATAACCTCCCAGGACCCCGCCCTCTGATTTTTTTCTTCTTTTCTCTAGCGATTTCTCTTCTTCCCTCACCGATGTTTACGCATTGATCTCTTCTCTTTTCTTCTTAATCTGAAAAAACCAGACCACACAATGATGTTAAGCCATCTATAGGTCCCGCCTATCGTAGCTGTTTCGCTAAGGATTCATCACCTCCTTCCATCGAAGGTCTCAATTGATGCTGGGATTTTTTTAGGTTTGTGTGATTTCATCTTTTGTAGATCGTATCTTATTTTCATATTTTCATAATGTTTATGCAAATAAACTCATTGCGTGTTAATTTGACTCAATTTGATGTATTGAATACAATCTTAGATCCTAATTTTTAAATGTTACAAACGAATTAGAAGGTTTTAAATTGGGGATCGTAACCAGCAATTAATGTAGAATGAGTGAGAAGATTTCTGATTGGATCTCCTTTAAAAATACATCTCTTAAAATTAGTTTGACAGGTAAGTTGATTTAGTGACTGTTTAGTTCTGTGGTGCCTCAAAACTATAACAAATTTTTCTTAAGGAGGTAATGAAGTTTGTGGTCTATGAAAGTTGCCAAAAGCTAGTTATTGCACGTGACAGAGGTTGATACACATGGGGATGATTCGCACATTAATAATCCCTGGAGGAACATATCTCAATGTTGGTATTTGACACGAGAGCACTATGGTGGTAACTAGAAAAAATCCAACACCCTCAGATGAGAAACATGCTTAACGGCTTAGGTAGAAAGATGTTGTTAACAGCCATGGGTTGGACAAGAATCCAATTAGCAGCATTGATGCAGTGCAGATAGGAAAAAAAGAATCAAAAGAGAGGACAACGGGAGAGAAATTCCAAGAACTTAGTAGTGCAACAATGACAGGAAATGATACCGCCATAACGTAACAACATGTTGAGGTTAGGGTTTAAGTTAAAAAGAGAGAACATGAGACAAGACTATGATTAATGTGATATGAAATGAATAATTTAATATTGAGGATACAACTTACTAACCTGAGGGTCCTATTTATACTAATTAATATTTTACACCAACTTGAATACTAGGCAGTATGAGTGTATAACTAGTAATACAAGCTCAACTGAGTTAACCAGAACTTTTAAGCTCAACTGAGTGTATAACTAGTAATACTTTGCCTATAATTATATGTTGTCTTCTTTGTATATAATTTTTCTTCTACTATGTGTTCTTTGGAGGTTTCAGTTGTAGTTATATGTTGATATTTGTTTGTACTTTTATGTGGTATATTTATCATCTTTTTTTATCGTTAATGTAATAATGTGATTTGTTCTTTTCCGTTTATGATCCATTTTGAACACAGAAGGAGAACAAGGCTATTTTAAGCTGAAATTTTGTTTCATCTATTAAACGTTTGGTTCTCTGTAGGACATCCTCTGCCTTCTATAGTAATGATCAATTTTAATACCGCTAAACTAGCTACTGTTATCCTTTCAACTCAAAAAGTTCTTTACATATTTTAACATAACTGCAGGCCTGTAATGCTCATGGACTTCTTTGTGTTCCTTTATATGATACCATAGGTATGATCCCACCTTCCTTGACATTTTATCTAGCTATATCATGTTGTGGGCTGATCTAACCACAACTTAAATATATCTATTATCTTATGTTACAGGTGGTACTATTGTTTGGTTATGGCCCTTATGCTCCCTCCAGGAAATTATTCCTGCAAAGAAAAAATCTTGAAGTTGATGATTCCAACTCAAGTGATAGGAATTTTTTAGAAGATGAAGTGGTAAACGAGAAAAGGATGCTTATAGTATTCTCATGGAAGCCAGTTGTGCTTTTTTTGTTCTGGGCTTTGCTGTGGTCATCCTACGTTTTGATCCTCTGTGGCATCTATGTCCAACCGCACGGTGGTCTACAGGAGATGTTCAAAAGGTTTTGCTTAATTGATATGGCCATTATTTGTTTGACAACACTTTTGCAAGTGACAAAACATATCTGGATATTTGTTTGCGTAATGTGTCCATATACTTCATTTTGGTCAGTTTGAATGCTCATTGTTACAGTAGCTGCTAGAATTAAATGCTCTGTTGACTGTTTAGATCATTGCTTATAGGGCAACCAGATGCTATAATGATCACAGATAAACAGAATCCGACAAACAACCCGTCACTGTTGATGATCAATGTCATTCATCGTTTATATACCAATTGAGGTAGATTAACCTCTATATTAGTTTAGTACTAACCTTTTAATCAAAGCACTCAGCTGTGGTAATTCCCATATAACTTACTAACCAAGAGAGAGTGAGGGTTATGTCCAATGTAAGTCTAACTACTATACTTTGAGTAATTGATTGTCGTAGAAATGTCACTTTATTCTATATTATTTTGCCTATTTACAGGCTCTGAAGAACATGAACTACAACTCTGAACCCATGATATAGAAATGTGGTATTTCAATAACTTTTGGGTTCACACAATTTGATGGGAGGGTTTTGCAGGCGCCAATGGTATTTATCTTTTATCACTGTTATCGTGGAAACGCTTATTTGTTTCTGTTCCTGGTTGTGCCATTTATCCTTTATTTAGAAGCCAATAGAGCAGTTTCGAGATATTAATTTTCAGCATTTCTATAACAAGTCACTGTTTTTGAATTATCTTTTAAGTTATACAATATGGTGTAAAACTTATGCTAAATTTATTTTCAGTTGAAGTTGGGCAATGGGGAAGATTTCAGTCCCAAATATGGGATATGGAACTTCGACAACAACGTATTCAAGTCAAATTTCAGCTTCATTTTTTGTTACTTTTATATTTTCTTCAAAAACATTTCCCACTAATGATTTAATAATGTTCCCAGAAATTTGTGCAACCTGTTAAAATAGTGAATTGGGCTGTGGTAAACTTTTCTGCTAAATGGGATGTGCAAGGACTCGTGAGGGATCTGACAAAATGTGGAGGAATGAAAGGCATTGTAAGTTCTGTTAGAGCATATTTACTGACAATCTTAAAGATTCTAACTCTATTCCTTGTTTTTGCTTTTGGTAGGATATTGAACAACCTCTTGGTATATATGAAGAGGAAACGGACGTCCAGTTTAGCGGTGCATTACCTGTGGAAAGAGTTACGAAAATTGTTGAAGCGTGTTCAGTCCAAACATCCAAAGAATTCTGCTTTTGGCTCTACAGGACTAGGACTGCTTGTCTTCACGGAATCGTCCATTCATACGCCGCTGCAGATGAGATGGTTGGATTATCATTGTTCGATGGATCTAACGACTGTTATTTTCATTCTGGTACCTTTTCACGCTGCTAGAACCTCTTTATTTAGTTACACTGGCGAAATAATTTCCTTTGATACTCGGTGCACCTCAGAACAAACATACATGAGCTATTAATAAGCTTTTGTTGGAGCATATGTATAATTGAGATTTTGAGCTTGTTTGTTTCTTAGAAAAGTAAAGTGTTGTATTGATATTTTCTACGCTGACTTTGTATTTATTCGGAAACCTGTAAATGCGAATTGTGATTTGACTTTTTGAATAGGTAAACAGGGACAACAACACAAGTTCTGGGGAACGAGAATGTTCAAATATGGCGATGTTGATACTAGAAAGGGGGTTGGTGAAGCCAAAAGATTAACAACAACTAGAAGACTACAAAATTGATTATGAAGGGCTCATGATGATACTAGAAGACCACAAGTGATTTTCTTTATTGGTGCTAACTGGAAGTAATTTTTAAGCTTTTGTAGATGTTCATGTCTATCCTCTAAGGCAAAATCATACCAAAGAATTCTTCAGCCATCGGTAGAAAATCTTGGATCATTACTTGGTGTGGAAAATTGGGCAGAATATCTTGGATCATCATAGGTTGTACAATTATATTGATTATATTGTATATATATCAAGTTATATATTATGACATTTGATCATTTAGATATTCATAAGTATATATTTAGTAGAAAATATAATAAGTTAATTAGAAAAGTGATATAATGAAATATCAATTGTTTTTTAAGTTATATAAATTTATATATTTGTTATATGTGAGTCTTTATATATTTGATATACGTGAGTCTTTATATATTTGATATATTACTAAAAAACAATAATAGTTTAAATTAAAAAAACTATTATAAAAAATGAGATGAAAGTAATTTAAATAAAAATAGAATATTATAAAAAAAATTCTATAGATAAAATTACGAGGGTTTAAACCGTCGCAACTAGCATAAATAATATTTAGAATTAGTAAATATAATTACGACAGTTGAAAACCGTCACAATATGGAGATTACGACAGTTAGCTATCCGTCGTAAAAATAAATAATATTTAGAATTAGTAAATATAATTACGACGGTTGAAAACCGTCACAATATGGAGATTACGACAGTTAGCTATCCGTCGTAAAAATAAATAATATTTAGAATTAGTAAATATAATTACAACGGTTGAAAACCGTCACAATATGGAGATTACGACAGTTAGCTACCCGTCGTGAAAATAACGACGGTTTGGACGACAGTTTTCACAACCGTCGCAATACGGCCTCGCGACGCACGTTTCCGCGACGGGGTTGAAACCGTCGTAACTTACAAATTGCGACGGTTAAAACCGTCGTAATATGTCAAAATGAACCGTCGCAATTTGCCAATTTTCTTGTAGTGATTAAGGCAAATGTTAAGTAGTTTGCACTATGAATAATGGTGGTAAAAAACCAAAAGGAGGACCATAAGGAGGTACACTGGTGGTAGTAGCTGCTACAAGCGTAGGTTATACTGTTGTATTGACGATCTCAGAAACCACAGTGCTCTGAGTGTCCATCTTTGCACGCATAATTTGCAACATCTCCATTATCTGTCCTACACCTCTTCGTAGGTCTTCCAACTCATCACTAACTTGTTCAATCTCTTGATTCTGCTCTGTCATCCTTCTACGAGTTTGAGTTCTGGCATTATAAGGGTGTAGAAGATTCAGTATGAACAACCAAGTGAAACTTGTGCAGAAGAAACTCCAAAACTCTTCTTTGGCTCCTGAGACCTTGCTTAAGGTAGTCGAATATGCTTTCTCAACAACTTCTACAAGGAAACAAACACGAGTCTTACAAAGGGAAACTGGTTATTAGAATCATTTTCTGAGTCAACTACTAGAGATTACATGTTTACAGCTAAATCTTTAAGTTCCTTAAAGACTTATTTTGAAAGGGAATGTTTATGAATGCATGAATGGAAGGATGGATGTATGCACCTACACATGTATACACATATTCACGCATATATACAAGAAAACAAATAAGGGCCTAGTTTTGAAGATCACGAGCATGAAGCCATGGTCTACCCATCCGAAAAGGTGTGTACTAAGGGTTCTTGTATCTGAAAAACAAGGTTCTAAATAGTTCCCAAAGTCAACAACCCATCTTTCAGATATTATTGGCATGCCAATTAACTCAAGAACCAATAATATTCTCAAGAGAGTCTCGTTTGAGTGTGGTATCGCGTATCAACTACTTTGGGTTTACACCTTCATAGTCATTGCACTACATCCTAACAAGGCCAAAGTAGGGTAAAAAGGTAACCTAAAGGTCCTCATTATCACAGGCTTCTAGGTCGAAAGTAATAGTGCATTCATGATGGCTCGTTCAACACTATCACTCCTAAGAGAGCCTCAACTGAGTGGGGGTTCTCAAGTTAAATATTTCAAAATTAAACTCCCTAAAAGTCTCCTTGACTATACCCACCATCCTATCATAAGTGCACTCAAGTCCGGGTATAAGACTTATCCTCACCACTCAAGGTAACAACCCTGCATACAAAAAACCCAAGCACAACAAATATATACAGATATTTACAAATATACAAGTATACAAACAAGCAAACATATAAAGTAACACAAACACAAATAAGGTGAGATTAACCGTCTTAGGGAGAAATCCCCAGTGAAGTCACCATTTCTGTTGTGGTGAGAATTGGATATCAAGCTATTAATTAACTTGAATCACAAATCATAAAATTCAACACCGAGCTTTGATTTATCCAAAGGAAACGACAAAGATCGAAGAAAACCCTAAAGGCACTATGTAACAACAAAGCTAAGAGAATCTAAGGTTCAGAGGTTGGTTATACCTAAGGAAGTTGCTAGCATCCTAAGTATATGTAGTACTCTATAGGAACCTCTTGTTAGTATTTGTGTTATGCTATAATTTGCTTGCTAAGGGAAATGTGCTAAGGTAAAGACCTAGGGTATATACAAAGTATGCTCGCTAAGACATCACATGTCGTACCTATGTATCCTGACTAGAATGGAATCAGAGCATTCGTAGTTCACCTAACTAGGGGTAAGGAATTCTTGATTGTGGTCAATGTTCCAAAGGTAAGGTAAGTGTCCATGGCAAGACACTTACATAGAGTGCAACGACTCTAAACCCAAGGCTAGGTTAACAGGGCAGAGTAAGTATTCATAACCATGATACTCATATATAATACGATGACTCTAATCCTAAGGCTGGGATAAAAGGGAAGGAAGGAGTAAGCTGGGCTAAGCTATTCTAACATGACATGGCAGTCAACAGGGAATCCTTTCCTTTGGAATGAGATTAAAGGGAAAATGCTAACCTAATGTTATCATGTAAAGATTAAGAATATAAATCTATCCTTTTAATCGAAAATTAAAATCGAGCTAGGAGATCCTAAGGGAACATGTGAATACACAAACTAGCAAGTAAATAACAGGATATGTACAAGAGTCAAAATGAATTAATAAGAGAAAATAGGCTCAAGTCATGAAAGTACCAGACAAAAATTTAGGCAAAGAAAAATAATATGATAAAAGATGTGTGTGTTAGATGAATAATGAACACAAAATAATGAGCAAGAGGTAATCGAGATAAGGGTCAAAATCGTGAGATCGAAACAAAAGATGTCTAATTTACAAGTCACATAAGTTAGGAGTCAAGAAAGTAATAAAATAGGAATCAAAGATTAAAACCTAAACATGAATTAAAATGGAAAAGATTAATCTACCAAATTAATTGAGGAACTATTTAGACTTTTCTTTTATATTTAAAATTATTTAATCAAGAACAAATAAGTAAATAAAAACAAAGTTTAAAAATATAATTTTTAACTAATTAATAAAAGGAAGATTGTTAGAAAGTATTTTGCGGTAGTGTTTTATCGTATCCACATAGATTGATGAGAAAATGAGATGCCTGCCGTTCAATGCTTTAATGATTTAAGAAATGGGTTTTTTTAAAATGGTTTATATTTTCGTAACAAGAGTTTGCAAGAATTAAAATGGAATAAAATTCGATCTAAGTTTGATAAAAGCATGCCAAGATTAGGGTTCGCTAATTCGTCCTAAACGTATCCAACCGATCAAATATGTGAATGTAGTTTTAACCAACATAACCGCGTATCCTCGCAAAAACGCTCATTTCTAAAGCGGTTTCGTGAATGTTATTGTTTCGACCGTTAAATGATCTCTTTAAATAACACTCGAAACAATAATCATTAAGATCAATAAAAAAAGGGGATATCAACTTTCAAACCTATGTCTAGAATTTGTATAGTTGATAGATGAAGAAATTAGGTCAAGACTTGGAAAGTTCATGTCTAAAGCAATCCAAACGATAAATGTACAAAAGATAGCAAATAACTTCATCTATATTGATCACAACATTGTTCACATACAAAAGATAACATAAAATCTGAACTAGCTACCTCTAACCTTGACAAGAGAGGGATTTAGCCACCCATTTCCATGATAGCTTGAGCAACAAGTTTCAGAAGAAGGTTGATTAACATCCGAGTCGAATAATCGAGATTGGATGGGAATCTACTTGCTTTTTGTGAAATATTGCTAAGAGATGATGAGAAATGGAGAGACAAGGTTTTTAGGTCTAAAAATCCTCTCAAAAGAAAGTATAAAAGATAAAAATTATTTTTACAAAAAGTGGCACAAGCTACTTAACTAAGGCCTGCTGAGCTGTCATGTTTGCAGTGCGAACAAAGTGTTCGCCTAGAGAACAGTCAAATTGGAACCTGAAATGCCTATGTCCTGTGAAAACTCCCCAGACAGATTTCCACATGTTCGCTGTGTGAAGAATTCTTCACAGTGTGAAGGCTTTGCTGCCAACTTTGTACAACGAATTCTTGTCCAAATACTTACTGCCTCAAGTCTGGGAGTGTTTGCTAGATCTTCGCGGCCTCTTCGCTCCAGCGAGTTGTTCACTGCCTTCTTCACATAACGAGTTTAGGTCCCTTTTCTTTCTGGATGAACAGTACATTGGGTTTCCTGGTCTTCGCTATGCGAACT